CAGAGCCACATTCCCATTTGGCTCCATGTCCATCATCATCTAAATGACAGGAACTCTGGGAACTCTGTGGTCTATGTCCCAGTGGAGAGGAACTCATTGGTCACATTTGGCCAAATGATCACTTCTAGACCAATCAGTGATAACTGGCAAGCAAAGGGAGAGATTACCTTGTAAGAACATATGTCCTTCAGTACCTCTTTAGCAAGGATTCAAAGGGTTTGTTAGAGGGGCGAGAGATTCTTTGGGAAAATAGTATGGGTGAATAGAAATGCTGGCATCTCTTGAACACCTTTAAGTACCAGTATTATAAGTTGATCTGAAAGGCTCAGGATGCTCTCAGAGAAGCATTTTACCCTTAGGGTGTCCAAAAATGGGTGCTAGGGGCTAGGGGCCATCAGAACGTCTTGTGTTTCTGTAATTCAGCTTCAGGGCCTTGGAGTCCTAAAAAGTCTGGCCAGTGACTATACGTGTGACCTGGAGAGGGCTCAAACTTCCCGTCTGTGGGAGGGTGTTCTACTGAAATTGTTAGTGACTCCCCAGCATTTTGTCAGTGGTCCTGGCCATCTCCAGAAATACAGAAAATTCAATCAGCAAGTGCTAAACACATAAAAAAGCCCATTTTCTTCTTCCCTGTATGCATAGAGAATGGATGTGTGTATGGAGTGACCAGGGTTATGGTTAGGGCTGGAAAAAGGGGAAATATTACCATTTGGCAGAGGAAATTAATTGGCAAAGTCCCTTAGAGATCGTCTAGCCATGAGGCCATCAATTGTGTTCCTCAGACATCTAGGGTTCCCCAGAAGTACCTCAAGAACCAAAAGAGGGGGTAACAGGGAAGACTGCATAGGCAAATTTCCACCCACCACCACCACCACCACCACCTGGCCACCAGTATCCTCCCAGAAACCAGAGCAATTCTGCTTTTCTTAACATTGTATGTGGGGTTGCAATGTGTTACTCTTTTATAGGTGAGGAAACTCACCTATTTACTCTTTTATAGGTAAGGAAATAGGTAGAGTGGCTTGCTCATGATCACACAGCTAGCTAGAGCCTGAGCTTTGCTGGTTGGCAGTTCTGCTGACTCCCAGAGCCCTCCTTCTGCTGACACAGGTCATACTGAGACAAGAAAGAGAACAATGATTTTTGACAAGGATAAGTATCGTGACAGCTAACCATCTGTGTCTCCCACCTGCAGCAAAGCATCAAGTATTCACTACTGACACATTTCCATTGCCCAAAAGCCCAAGCATACAGCTGTGCTTGGCAGTGTTCAAGCAGCAGGATTGTGATTCACTGGTAGCTTCAGGACTCAAGCCCCCTAAATGGTCAAACTTATTCCTCAGGTGGCTGTCTATTTTGTAATTAGCTATTAGCTAATTCATAAAGGGTCCCTATAACAGTTAGGGTAATTTAATTACAATCAACAGAACCCAACTCCAACCAACTTGAAAGAGAGACTGAGAGAGAATGTTGAGGAGAGGAGCTCTCCAAGTTGACAGTGTGAAGTCATCATGGTTGAAATGAACAAAGGTCAACCAATCTTCCCAAGATGTAAGATCCTCAAAGAGGGGGACCTAGGGATGAGTTCAGTTTGCATGACCACCTGCTTAGTGACCACTGAAGTTCTCTTGTCCAGCTGCTGTTCCAGGCTCCCCAGGCCACCGTATTTACTGTTCCCTTTGATCCAAGTCTTGAGTAGCATGGCTCCAGCAGTCACACACTCTCTAGTTCACAAGCAATCTTGCTCTTTCTCCCCATCCCCTGGTTCTTGGCATGCCTCCATCACACCAAAAATCATAAGACCAAACTCTTATCAGTCTCCCAGAGTTTCCTTGTATTCTTAGTATCTCGCAGCCTGGTGTGATGATCATTTCATTTGACTCACACACACAGTTTATTACCATGCCTTTTATTGTACGAACTTGGGAGAGGTTTATTTGGGAGTGGAATAGAGGACAAGATGCAAAAAGTTAGCGTCCAAAATTATGTCCCTTTTTTCACAGGCCATCCAAGAACTAGACTCAAACTCAGAGTCAGTTCAATTCAGAAGTTAAGGGCCAACTCTTGTTCCCATCTTGGTTAAAGAATGTTAGCCCAGAGTAAACAGTCAGCTTCAGTGTATTCCCTCACTGGTTCTCCTAGAAGGCCTATGGGGATTTCATATAAACAGAACCTCCACATCAGAGTCCCTGCAGCAGACGCAAATTGCTGCAAAAAAAAATTTAAACACATAACCTCTGAAGTCGCTTCTAGCTCTAAGGGTTCGTGGTTCTCTGAAGAAGCAAAGGGAATTTATTTGTAAGAAGGAGGTGATGAACATCTTACTCAATGAATCATAACTCACTCTGCCAGCTGCTGGAGACTTTCGGGCTGATCATTGAGAGCACGCCTATGGTGCCGAATTTCTGCCATTTGCTTGGGAGTTGATGACATCAGAGGGCAGGGTCTGACCTGACCCTCAGAGGAAAAATGTTATCTATACTATGAGGCAGTAGACCCGGGTCTATCCTCAGAACAAAACACATCACTTTCTGCTTGACTCAGGCCAGTGGGCCAGCAGCTGAGGGGTTGCTGATGGTTGATTCAACTGACCATTTACAAGAGACAGGGGAACTGGTCTGTGCCACCTGCTCAACAAATAGCCTTCCCTGTGGCCAAAAAGTAAGAATACATTAAAAAGAAAAAAAATCAGTTCAATTACACATGAAAAACTAAGCTATATTTTGGGATGGGAGAGCTAAAAAAAAATTGGTTGTCCCACGTAACTGAGGAGTATTTTCCTAACTCCCAAATGGTATACCATTATGTTTTGAGTTGTTTCCTCACAATGGGATTTTTTTTTTCACCAAACCATCCATACTGGCCCTTCTTTTAAAAACAAACATTGTTAGTCACACAATCTGTGACCATGAAACACAGAGGATCTCTCTCAATGAGTCAGAAATGTTCTAATCTACCGCCCTTCAATCCAGAACACTATTTGAGGTGGGGTTGCCACCTTGGGTAGAAGGACTCCCAAGTATGTTCCTGAAGTAGAAGAAAGCAGATACTTTGGCACATAATCAGCTGTATCCTCAGCTCAGTTACACAACTCACTGTCGTAAGTGATAGATGCTGGGATCTTGAAATCAGTTTCTTTTGGCTGGTTCTTAGCAGCTTGACTGGAGGTATTTCTGAGAGGGGAGTGAAAGTTGGAAGCAGAAATGGTACATTTTAGTTGCCCTCTCATTGGAAGAGGCAGGGACAAAGCTTAGCCCAGTACTCACTGAGAATGCTAAGTAAGATTGGAGTCATGACCCTCAGAACAGGAAAGAGACTGGGAGAGCAAGCAGTCCAGAGCAGATGCTGATGACAGAAACAGTCATAATAAAAGTGATAATAGTGAATTTTATTGATGGTGGAGATTTCAGTCATATGCCGAGCCAGCGTTCACATCTCCCTTCCTCTTTCCTAACAGAACTTTTGTTTCGTTCAGGCACCCAACTTCCCTCCATGTAGCCTCAGGTGAGGCTGACTATACCCCCTCAAGTCCAGGAAGAGTCCCATTGGTCAAAAGCTTCTTACAAGTAATGGGTCCGAACAGGCATATGACCCAATTCTGGCCAATGAGATATAAGCAGGACTTTGTTAGTAGAATGCAAAAAAAAAAAGTTTCTTTGCTTCAAATAGAGAGTCTCAGGAGATACGTCCTTCTTCCCCAGGACACTGACACATGTAGACATGGTGCCTGGGAATGAGGCAGCCATCCTGATAACCAGCCTAAGAATAGAGCCAACACTCAGGACTGCAAGAGAAATACGGAAATAACCAGGTTCTTGATGACAACACTGAGGACCTAATTTAACCAACTTTGAGTACATCCTCTCCTTGCACTTCTGGTTACCTGAGCTATTACATTTCCTTTTAAAAGCCACTCTGAGCTGGAGGTTCAATTAGTTGTGTAGCCAGAAACATCTTTTTTTTTTTTTAAAGATTTTTTATTGGGGAATCGGGGGATGGGAACAGCGCTGGGGAATTGGAGGAAGGGAACAGACAAGTTGCTGTCCTTTTGTTCTTCAGTCTAGTTCTGGAGGATGTTGCTTCACTGGCCCAAGTTGGCACCATCATTGTGCTCTTCCCCGGAGAGGCAGATCAGTCACCAGCTTCTGGACAGCTGCTCACGGCAGCTGCTGGCTACACACGGTAGCCCATGGCAACCCACTGCAGCAGGAGCTGCAGCCTACGCCATTGCTGGCGACTCACAGCAACCCAGCTCCAGGTTGAGCTGTTGTTCAGCATCTTAGCTGTGGAGGGCAGTGTCACTGGCCCTCATATGTGGGATCCGAATCGGGGCCCTCTGGCATCCCAAGCCAGTTCTTAACCAACACTCCACTCGGCCGGCCCCCAAAACATCTTAAGTTAGAGAATGTTTCCCATGTGCCAAGAATGCTTGGTACCCTACAAGCAGTATTTCCCTTAGTCCTTGTGGCAACCCTATGAGATGACTATTATCTTTATCCTATTCTACATTTGAGGAAACTAAGTCTTGAGGAGATTAAATAATTTGCTCACAATCAGTTGAAACGGGTAGAGACTAGATTCAAAATTTAAGCAGTTGGACTCCAGGGCCTGCAGTTTCAACCTTCATGCTGTATAATCCAGAAAAGGGAAAGATTTGCTCCCAAAAGCACCATAAGTCTGTATCATTCAGGGATTGGAATTGAGGCCCAGTGTTCTTCCAATGCTCATGTGGATGGTGGTGATTTCAGAGATCAGCAGCCAGTGTGGCCTCTTCCCCGCCCTTTAACCAAGACAGCCCTTCTCATGGGACCCATAGTCTGGCTTAAATGACTGGCCATTCTCTCTCATTATTGGCTATACTGCCTGGCTCTCTATATTCATCTCTGGTCCACCTCCTTCATTTCTGCCTTTTTAGCTCATTAATTGACTGTCTGCAGCCACTGAAGAGAGACATGTCATTCTCCTGGAAACATCCCCCAGAGCAGGGCCAAGATCCTTACCAGTGAGGAGTTCTCAGCAGCAAAGAAACCGGGCTGTGCCTGCTGGGGATGTGGAGGACGAGCTGGCATGTTTCCCATGCTAATTGGTTCCAGTCTTGATTCAGTGGTTCTCCCAAGCCAGGTGACAGCTCAGTGGTGCCCAGCAGTTCCAGACATGCAAAGAAGGCAAACACTTGAAGCTGCTTCAGGCACAGGATGAGTCACCAGGAGCTCCACCATAGGAACCTCACAGGCCTTGGATTTCCTGTGAGTGAGAGGACAGGTTGACAATGGCATGACAGACTGGCAATGGCATGACAGACTGGCATTGTCATGCTACTAAGGCAAACAGGACTGAGGAGCCCACCCTTGCATTGTGAGGTACTGAAAATGGGAAGGCAGCAGGATGCTGTGATTATGAGCATGGTCTTATCATTGAGCAAATGTGGATTTGACTCCCAATTCACTTACGTTACAGCGGATGAATGCAAAAGAATGAGTGCTAGAACTTCTCTGAACCTCAGTGTTCTGCTCTGAAAAAAAGATAAGAGTAGAATGGTTTGGGGGATTAGATGCGATGAGCATTATACCTGGCACATAGTAAACGCTCAGTGCCTTGGAAAATAATGATACTGGCTGCAAAGATGATGAAAATAATGACGAAAAATTGAGTGGCTAGAGAATGTGTGTTAATGGTCGTGGTCAAAGTTTCTCCTTCTTGATAACAATTCCGGACAGGTCCCAGCCTTATTTGAACAGACTCCCTGCTTGTATTTTTCTCCTTGCTCCCATGTTTCTTCCCTCCTTGAGGAAAAGCACAGTTCAATGCACTTGAACTTGATCCAATCAACCGGCTCTTGTGTGGCTGGCTACAAAGGTGGCTTCCTGTTGTTTCAAGATGTTTGTTAATGGTGAACACCTACCTCAGCTCAGTAGAGCCACTTAATCAGGCTACATAGAAAACTGGAAAAGGTGAACCAATGCAGATATGGTTAGTTCCAAGAGGGAGTGTTGGTTATGTGGTAAGGTAACTAAGCCTATGCGGTAACAAAGCTGTTATAATGATCTTATCAGGTTCATGGTGAAAAGGCTTATTCAAATACCTCACCAAGATTCCATTTACATCTGCCAATGAATAGAGTGTGGTTAGCCAGTTGGCCAAAATATACACGCCTTCCTTGACATGGTGTTAGAGAAAATTTTCACCCCGATTGCTGAATCTATCTGTTGTACTAAGGCTATTGCAGACTTATCATTTGAGCAACGCATGGGCATCGTACGAGTATTTAATTGGCTCACCTAATTGTTGTGCCTGTATCCATAGAAGAGGTGATCTAGTGCAGGGTTTTATTTATTCCATGAGGTCCTCCGGGGGGGGTGGAATTGCGTGGGAGAGCTCAGGCATTCGTGAACTCTGGGACTCCTATCCCAGCTTCAACCAGAGCATTTATTTCTGGTTTCCAGATGGGGTCTCCACATAACTTTATACACAACTTTAAAAAACAGTTTGGAAGTCACCCCTCTGGTTGAACCCACACATTTTTCAGGAGAGAAAACTGCAGCCCAGAGAAGTCAACTGACTTGCCAAAGGTTGCACAGCTAGCTACTAATGGAATCTGGACTCCAATTCTAGACGTAGAGGTCAGCACACTTGCCCAAGGGTAGCTACTGAAGCATTCTTCTGCAAACATACACCTCTAATGGCTGTATTATAAACATGGCTGTCTCTATAAACACCAACAAATGCTACTGCCACACACCGACCTGTGAGTGTGTGGTATTGTATTTGGCATCTTTGGGTTTTGAGGGCAAAGCGCAGGGATAGCATCAAGAAGGCTTTGGGAGAGCTAATGCCTGAACAAAGTTTTAAATAATGCATATGAGTTTACCAGTGAAAAGAAATCGGAGCATTCCAAACTGTAAGCCCCTTTGATTGAGAACCATGTTATACTGTAAAGCATATTGTTCTTACCAAATCACTATGTGCATCAGAATCCAGTCAGGAAACAGTAATCATATTAGCATTTCAAATCAGGTGATTTAATCCAGGGAACTAGTTATAAAGTGTTGAAAATGCTAAAAGAACAAAAAGAGAAAAGTTGAGTAAGCCAGAGACTAGGCAAAGGCAGAAAACAGCTACTTCTCTGAGGGCTGGAACAAGATGAGAACAAGTTATTATCCAAGCACACGGACACAGTTATGACTGTGCCACTGGTGGTGCCAGACAGTGTGATGGAGCCACCCAGGAGGGACCACTGGATCAGTACTAGGACCAACAGGGAGGGCTGTCCAAGGCCGGTCCTAAACTATTGTGGCTAACGTTGGAATTGTCAGAGATGCAGTCACTCCCATAGACCACACAAGAAACAGCGAGCCCACCAGTGCTACCCATTGGCTGAACCTACCAAGGGGGCCTGGGATCTGTGGTTTCCAGGGGTCCAGGCCCTGTGATGCAGGGCAGGACATGAAAGGGCAAGAATGGTAGTGAGAATAAGCAGGAAATAACTAGTATCCCTTATTTTCTAAATGTAATGTTCTTCCCAGAAATTTCCCCAGGGCCTGTGCTACCTCTCTCCCGTTGCACACATATTGACACACGGATGCACCCATAATAGGAACAAGTCAAGAACAACCCCGTAGTGGACAATGGTAACTTTTTGTCTGCCCAGTACCTGAAGCCTCTTCCTATTTGAGGAGAATCCCCCATTATACAAAGATGAAACTCTAGATCCTCGATTTCCCAGCTCCCCTCGTAGCCAGGAGGTGGCACATGACCAAAACTCGACCAATCAGATGCATCTGTTCTGAACTTGGAATTGGGAGCTCAAGATACAAAGAAGCAGAGACATGGAGGCTCCATTCTGATGGAGAAGTAGCCACGCCCAGGTTTCAAGGGCTGTGTCAACCGTGCGTTTACTAAACTGCTTCTGTCATGTGATTTGACCCTTCGTCTCTAGTCTTCCTAGGATTTTGAGGACTCTCCAAATCTTTCCCGTAATTTCATTTTCAGCTTAACTCATCTAGAATAATTGTCTGTTGCTTGCAACCAAGAACCTCTACTATCATAAGCTTCTTCCTTTTTTGTGACCAGAGATCTTATATCTTGAGTCTAGCATTTATGATTACCCATAGGTTTTAGGGAGCGTCATCTCCAACAATATCCAAGAGAAATAGGCAGTGGAAGATATAAGTAGGCCTTGGCATAGAACCCTCCAGAAGTCCTGAGGGCCTGGAGTGTGCTGCCAGCCTCTAGCATCCAGAGGTGTGAAAGCATGCTGTCCGCAGCCATGACCACGGAGAAGAGTCATTTGCCTTGAAGGCTAAGTTCAAAACCCAGCGGCAGAGACCGAGTCATCTTCCTGCCTCTCCCACAAAGGTTCACTCCATCTACGAAGCTCTGGGCTTAGCTGCATCTCCTGCGCTCTCCCTGGCCAAGCACTGTCAGAAAATTTTTACCTCTACTCCCTTACAATTTCAGGACCTCTAGCATCTTTGCAATACCAGCCAAGGATCTCCAAGAGGCAGGATACTTGCCCTGATCCTCTTATTCCAAATTGTCATCTGTTAAATTAGTCATCTACTACTGTATAATAAATCACCTCAAAACTCAGTTACTTAAAGCAATAATAGTTGTTTATTACCTCTCATGGTTTCTGGGGGTCAGGAATTCAGGCAGTAGAGGATGGCTTATCTCTGCTCCACAATGTCTGGGGGGCTTCAGCAAGTAAACTCCAAGGCTGGAGGTTCCACTCATCTGAGGGCTCATTCACTCATAGATGTGACAGATGATGCTGGTTGTCAGCTGGGGACCCAGCTGGCGTGATCAACTGAAACACCTTCTACGCGTGGCCTCTCCCTGACTTGTGCTTCCTTACAAATTAGTGGCTGAGTTCCAGGAGCCAACTGTTTTCCAATACAGCAGAAGCTGTGTTGTCTTCTATGATCTAACCCTGGAAGTCACATGGCATCACTTCAGTCAAGACAGTTACTAAGACCCACCCCATTTCAAAGGGAAGAAACAGAGACACTCCCCCCGCCCACTTCTCATTGGAGGAGTGTGTCAGGCTGTAAGACCAGCCTGTCAAATGGGAGATATATTGATGCAGCTGTCATGGTAAAACACTTTCTGCCACAGTCACCTCCTGTAATTCCCAGGTTCATAAGGCCTCTTTGGACTCATTCTCCTTGGATCATGTAGCTACCCCCTCAGCACCCCTCCTTCTAAGTATACCCACCCGCCCTGAGTCCAGAGCACCCTACACCATCCACCTTCTAAGAAAGGGACTGTGCTCAGTGAGTCCCACACTGTCTTCTGGGTCCTCCTGAAGAAAAACAAATAAATGCATATGTCCTTTCCATCACACTCCCTGCTGAACCCAAAGAAACTAATTTCAATAACCCCTCGGAGCTATACACTGCTTTATAGTTCACACTGTGCTTTTGTTCATACAGGCTCATTTCATCAGTAAAGTCCAAGATGCCTTTTCTGACACACACACACACACACACACACACACACACACACACACACACACACACAAGTAAATAAGTAAAACTACACAGTGTTAGGAGCAAACGTGGCTCAAAAATCGCTCATGCTACTTCCCCAGCATATCTCCTGCCACCTTGAATTATAGTCATGAGGACCCAGCCCCGCAGGGGGCTGACACCTCAGCATGAAATGTATTCCACTGCAGCAAACTTGTTGAGGTGGCTGAGGAGACCAGGTACGGGTGGCTCATACAGCAGGAAGGGGAGGCCCTGGCCAACTTGGGTTAAGGTTCCCAAGCTAAAGATCGAGCAGGAGCTGGATAATTTGGGAGCAGAAAGGCGCCAAATAAATTGACTATGCTTTTAGCCTCAGGCACAGCATCAGTGATTCATCGCTGAGAATTTTCCTAACACCCGCCCGCAGCCCTGCTCCCTCTGAACTCTGGCTGGAGGCCAGGCCTGACTGTGTGAAGCCAGAACACATGGTGTCAGGGAAGCCAGAAGTGGGCATAGAGACTCTAGGCCCCAGTTTTGATGGGGAAGAATTACTTTAGGTTTTTACCATAACTAGACTCTAAAAGTCACTTGCACTTATCAAAAAGCTTGAGTTACGGATCTGTATTTTGAAATGGGTTTCTCCTCGTAAACAAAACTAATAGTTATCCTTTGAAGGTGCTTGGTTTGTGCCCATCACTGAGCTGTGGCCTTTATTGGTCTATTGGAATGCTTCCACAGAACGCTTGCCATAGTCCTTGGCCACCTCTCTTCAAGGTCAAGTGTCAACGGGTTGACCCATCTGGGTCTTCCAAAAAGCCCAGGTCTGTTCCTGTTGATGAACACTTGAGTCAAGATTTTGCTCCTGGACTCCCAGGGCCTTCATCTGTAAAATGAAGAGTCTGGGTCACGTGGTCTTCAAAGTACCCTGCTGCTGGGACATTTCTGTCACTCTGATCTAAGCAGACATCTAAGGAGTTTGGCTACCTCTTCGTTGTCCGCTTATAAAAACCCAATAGCAGGATAAGGACAAGGGGCACTGGCGCCTGAAAAGAACTGTTCCTGCCAGAGGCTGGCACAGCTCTCCATTCTAATGCCATCAAGCTAATAACACTCACCACCCTCCCTGTTCCCTCCTTCATGCCCTCCCTCTCTCCTCACTCTGCCTAGCCAGGCTGGCAAACCGCAGGCAGAGAAGCCCTGGGCAAGACTGGTCTGTGGCGTCTCCACTGGCTCCGCCTGATTCCACTAAGGAAACTAGCTCTGCTGATGTCTGTGGTCCTGCCCAAAGCATGTGGCTGCTTCCGCATTGCCAGTGAGAACCTCTGAAGGGTTGCCCCTGCTGGCCCCTGCTGACCCCTGCTGACCCCTGCCACCACCACAACCCCACAAGCTCACTGGTTTCCTATGAATGTGGGGGGGGGGGCGCGGCAAAGGGAGGGGAGGAAGAGAGAGAGAAAGAAAAAGCAAACAAACCAACCACATAAGATATAAGGCATAAGGACAGAGAGAATTATTCCCCCTGGATTACAACACCTGATTTCCAGATATGGTGTGTATGTGTGAGCTGAAACTGTGATAAACATCTAATTCTCAATAACACTAAGAAATTTACACCTTTGACTTCTGTTCTAACGTAAGGGTTAGATTGAGAATACACACTGATGCCAGGGGCTGTTAGCACATCAAATATATGATTATAAATTCCAACAAGGTGATTTTTAAATATTTTGTTATTATTTTAAATGACTAATTATTGACCATTGGCAAGATGCCAGTCACTAATCTAAGGCCTTTACTTGTATTTTCTCACTTAATATTTATGCCTTTTTATGACGTTATCATGGCAGCATTGTCTGTTTCGTTTGGAAGTTTTCTCACTCTCTGATGCTAAGCTAAGGTAGTGGCCTGGGAAGGGGGTCATTCTGAGAACAGATTTGAGCTACTTACTTCAGCACAGAAAGGCAAATAGATTTTAGCTCATGCCAGCTACAGTTAAAAACTGGTGGGAACCTAGAGGGTTGGGTTGAGAAAAATTCTGAGATTGAGTCTGAGCTTAGTGAGAAAGAGCGACATGATTAACAGGCAATGCCTGTCATGGGTACTGGAGGGAGAAATGTCACCACATGTGACAAGTATTTGCCAGCCCTGCTGAAAAACAAATTCCAGGTCCATCCTCCTATCTATGCCCATATAGGTTGTATTCTGCACAACTCCAGAGGGTGCCATTCATATGGATTTTGATGTAAATAGAAGCCGCCCTGGAATTGTGCAGTCCATAACCTGCACAACTGTCCCTGGTATCTTTCCTCATGGCAATAAAAACTGAGGTAGGAGATGGTGACCTGGGCTGTTGAGATGAGTCCATAAGGGGTAGGTGCTTTAGCACAAAGAGCTCCAAATGTAAAGTCATGAGCCCTTGGCCCTCTTCTTAATTTGTTGTGAGTCCTGGGACAAACGCTTTACCTTTCGGTGGCTTCAGTTTTACAGCTTATGGAATGAGCAGTTAGATCACAGGGTCCCCGAAATCCCCGCCAAATGTGTACGTGCTAAACTTTGCTGTTGATTTTGCCATCCAGTTGTGACTGGACGTCATAGCCCAATTTTGTCTGAGGAAGCTGCCCCCCCCACAACTTTAAAGCTTACTCCAGCCATGAGCACATGACTAAGCTAAACCAAGCAGTGTATCTCATCCACCCCTAACCCCCAGCCACAGTGACTGGCTCAGAGTTGAATCCGTAACTTAACCAGCCAATGAGACTCAAGGCCAAGGATTTCTTCTAAAGCTAGCACAGAAGTAGGCTTCATCTCTCCTACTGGATGTGAACCTGGAAGGATGTAGCCCCAAGAAGAGTTGGAAGTAATTTGAGGGAGCATAAAGGGAAATCCTGATTAAAAATAGAACCCTTACCAAAGAAGCAAAATCAAGAAATAGAGAATTCGTTTTTTGGCCATACTGTGCCAAACTTTACCTGAAGCCAGACATTCTCTGATATGAACCGATAAATGCCTTCTGGTTAAGTAGTCTGATGTGGACTTTCCACTCAGAGAATCCTAACTAAAGCTGCGTGACTTTATGAAAGAGTGAATGCTGTACCCTCTAACTCTGGCCAGAACTGGTCTTGATATCACTGACAAGAGCCCAACAGACATGGGCTGGCTGCACAATGCTGGGATGCTCAGTGTGTATCCCCGATTCCACGTAGGTACTGCTCCCACACACGTCCCACACACATAACAGGACTGGGAAGCGAAATAAGTTATTACCATGCCCTCTAAGCTTCCACCTCCAGATGAATGTTGTTACCAAAGCAGTCATGGGGAAGGAGGCTGTGGATTTATTTCTTTATGTCAAAAATGCTTCCAGAGCTCTTTTTTGAAGGCCTGCGGATCCAGTTTGCAAAATCCCCAATGAGAACACCCTAGATCAACATTACAGCAAATTTTATTGACCACCTATTAGGTGTAAGGGGCTATGACAAGGACTGAGAGATGAGCAAAGAGCAACAATAACAACAACAAAAATCCGGGACTTCAATTTAGAAAGAAAAAAAAAAGCAGGTGTCCAACGCATCTAAACCTTACACTCCTTCTGGCTCATAAAACTCATCTTCAAATGTTAAGTGGGTTTCTAGGCAAACCCTCAGGCTCTTCGCGCCTCCATCTCATTTTGTATCCTACGTGCTCTGCCATGAATACCTATGAGGCACCACTTGTCTAAGAACTGTCCCTCCCCTCGTCTATACAGTCACCATGGCAGCCATCCCAGAAGAATGTGAGCCTTGTCCCCCGGCCAAGGTTGATGGCCCAGGGATAGTCACCAACTCAAGTCAAGGCAATGATAGAACCTATTGCCTGGCAATAGATAGATGTAAGCTCCTGACCCTCAGACTTATTTGAACCTTTCTGTGGGAGTTTTAGGACAAGACTAACGGAGCCAGGCTTTTTGTGGCTGCCTGTGTTCTAAAATATAAAAATGAGGCCTTTTTATGGTTTTGTTTCTCATTGTGTTTCATTCTGTGGAAATAAAAGAAGAAGGAAACAAAGATGAGATACAGTATGTGAGTAGTTACCCAAAGGGTCTTGAACCCCTGCATCCAGCTGCTATTGAGGCCCAGATACATGCCAGGTTTTTGAATTGCTTGTTATACTCAACTAACTTATAATAAGTTCCTGGTTTTTGCTTAAGCTGGTTGGAGCTTGGTCTTCTAGAACCAAGAATCCTTACAAGCACATGGTCCTGATAGGCCTGATGTCTCTGGCTCTGGTTTAAGTCCACCCAGACAGATTTGGTCCCCTCCCTGTTTTCTGCACTTGTACCTTCACGATTGTGAGCATTGAGACCCCCTCAACTTGATGCCTTCCATTCTTCCAGGTGGAGGCCCCCCCACCTTCATCCCAGTCTGCAAAACTCTACCTTGATGCCCCTGTCAAGGGAGGGGACTAGGACTAGAAGGTCCCAGGA